CTCATTGTACCAATCCACTTTNGTGTGAGTCGTTTCTGTTTGCTTTCTTACTAGCGAGAAACTGAACTTNTCTTTTTGGGGANCAAATCCATCTCTCCAGCAGTACATATCACTNGTCTCCTCAGATAATTGGATGGTTGTAAGATGGCAAAGTAGATTGACCGCCCTCTCACTGCGAGCTCCTCTAATATTCCACCNTTGTTCTGATGCCGAATAAGAAACCTTGGAATCCATCTGTAATCCGTAGATTCGAGGTCCATTATGGCCAATGTAGGTAAGGAGTACTATATTGCAAATATTCATTAGTAAGTCCTAATTTATCTTGTTACATCACATATTCTAAAAGTGATGCATCTTTAGTTAACATTACTTTGAGGCTTCTTTGATAAAGTAACGCTAGATAAATACCCGCGTTATACGCAAGTTAAAATGACTATCGTATAAAATCAATATAGTTTTAGTTAAAAAATGAATTGTAGTTATTAGGGAAATTACTATACAAAATCTAAAACCCGTTTTATATATTTGAATTTTGCGATTATTTTGCATAGAAATGTGTTCCACCCGTGAAATAATTAAAAACAACGAATTTTAATTTTTCTAGTTAATAAAAACAATCACAATTTGTGATATATAGTATTTAATTAATAAAAATAGACTTAATTAATATCATAATTTTCAAGGATACAAAAATGAAAAATCACCAATTTATGGTCTTATAAATGAATTGTTAATTTAGTTCATGTCATGAAGAGAAGAAAAAGTGTAAGAATAGAAATGATGTTGTGCAGCTCGTTCATGAGTTCATGTGAGGATTTTGTGGTACATGCTAAATACAACATAATATATGAATTCAAATGATTTTTATTCGATATTTAGAATTAGTATGTGAAGATAGATAGAGAAATTTAATGTTTACTCCAATGAACGTCATATTATTTGTTGGTTGTTTTATGTGTTTAGGAAAACAAAAATTTTAAATGAGATAAATCTTTATATGAGTCTTTTGTATGTGGAAATATCGGCTCATCAAAATATAAATCTTTATTATATAATAGTACGATAACATCTTTGTAAGTAAACGTTACTCCTAGACCTAAATATCATTAAGTGGGCCGTATTTATTTTGCTGGTGAA